GAAAAGACGCTTCAAATACAATATTGAACTGTCTTTGCCTGTGTAGGGTAGGAAAATGAACAAGCTTTCGTTGGTAGGGATGCAAGTATCTGAAAATATAAGGAGAATTGACCATTTGCGTAATAGACTAAATTTTGATCTCAAAAAAAATTTCATTACAGCTTGAAAGAGCATCACAAAATTAGTAATATTCCAAAGTTTCGTTGCAAAATGTTGTAAAATGCGGAAAATATAGCCTTGCGAAATTTGCAATTTTCAGTCATTTTAGATTACAAACCGGAAATTGACAGCCTCGAAGGGTTTGGGGCTGTCAATTTCCCGTTTGTAATCTAAAATGACTGAAAATTGCAAATTTCGCAAGGCTATATTTTCTGCATTTTACAACATTTTGCAACGAAACTTTGGAATATTACTAATTTTGTGATCTTCCTTCAAGCTGTGATGAAATTTTTGTCTAGACTTGTTTAGTTCAAAATTTAGTCTATTACGCAAGTGGTCAATTGCTCCTGGTTAGGTTTAATGACAGAATTTTGTTTAAATCATGAAAATGATTCAAAATACCAAAAGAAATCATGGGGGTCACCGACTTTATTTTCGAGTTAAATTACTTTAAACCGATAATATCCGCCATATTGAAACGTCATTGTTGCCATAGCAACGGTTGTTAGAAGTTTTTAAAATCTACGAACTCCTTAGTTATCGTTTAATTCAAGTCAGATACCCTCTGTTTTTCAACAAATAATTATTGTCCAGAAATTCATGTCCAAATCAGAAAATCTTCCATTTCTTTAAAAAGTGTAGCGAGCCACCTTAAGTCTAAAGATGCAATAATTTTCACTCGAAATACATCCTTTCGATAATTACGTCATTTGGCCTGGGAGCCTCGCTCTCATCAATCGTGAGCCAATCACCTTACGTAATTTACTAATGAGAGCGAGGCTCCATGACCAAAACGTATGTGCGACGTAATTATCGAAAGGGTGTATTTCCACCTGATCAACCCTTCAACAATGTCATTGATGGCCATTTGTAAAAGCTTCAACATTTTAGTCATTTTCAAAGATAAAATAGGATGAAAAAAATTTCACTGTCTGGAAACTGGGCGAAAATATTATTGCGTAGTTAGACCTACTCTGGATGAGTTATGTTCACTTCCAAAATCAAATCCTCAGGAATTTCAAACACCTCGGGTTCTTCGCCATTCGCTTGAAGGACCAACGGTAGAACATCAAATCTACCATTTTTAGGTTGCCAACCTAGACCGACACATATCTGTTGATACGAGAAAAATGATCGTTTAAAAGAAGATTTTCTTGTATGCAAGAGTGGGTAGTAGCGAAGTAGTTGTAGTTCGCTACTGTAGCGAACTACAATTTTCAAGTAGCCAGTAGTTTTTGACTACATTTTTAAAACAGTAGCTGTAGTTATAGCGAACTATATTTTGCCTAAAAGTAGCCAAGTAGTTGACTACTTTTCAAACAGCAAATCGCTATTCGCTACTTTTAAAAATTGTTAACAACTTGATAGAATAGCATGATATTGAGATACGGTTTGCTTAAAATTGATACTCAATAGTCAATTTGCACTCCTGAGCACTGTAGTGATTACAAAAATGTTGCTTTGTGTTTACTGTTGCTACTCGTAAGTCTATTTGTTATAGGTTACATTACAGTCTGAGTTAGTATAGATGCTCCAAATACAGTAAAACTAAAAAATATAGCGAAATAGTTCGCTACATTTTTTAAGCAGTAGCTATAGTCAGTAGCGAACTACCTTTGTTCAAAAGTAGCAGTAGTTGTAGCTGACTACATATTTTTGAAGTAGCTGTAGTTATAGCGGACTACAAAAATTTTGTAGTCAACCCACCCTTGCTTGTATGTCACATAACACTCGCTCAAAAATGACGGTCACTCTTTTCTTTTATAAAACTAAAGAGTCAGAGTATATAATAAACCACTTGGTTATTACATTAATGTTATACATTAATAATACATTAATATGTTTTTCAAACGAAGGTATGCTGATGGTGCTTTATCTATAAAATAATGCTAAAATGAAGAGCTGGAAGCTTGAAGTTAAGTAATTTTTGCTTCTAATGCTGTAAATATGGCGTCAAACTCAAATTATCATGAACAGATGAACCGGCTTTTGCAGTTTCCTTTCCAAATCGATGAAAATGGATTTCATCAATCGATGAAAATGGATTTCATCAATCGCTGAAAATTGATTTCGTCAGGATAGTAGCCACCCCCCCTCCCCCTCCTCCGCATACCCCCAGGAAATCCTTCCCTGTTCACCTCTGCGATCAGGGTTTAATTCCTACGACCAACATGTAGTTGCTGTGTCGTCTCAGTTGCATGTGATCGTTCGGGTACAGGATTGTTTGAGAGTCAGGTTTCAGTCAATGTTATTTATGTTTTATTGATGGCATACTTAGTGGTAGATATAATTGTCTATAGGACATGAAATTATAACCTGTAGATAAAACTGATAAAGTTGACTTCACCTCAGTAAACTCGACACTGGCTGGATCTCCAATGATTGAGCCATCCTCCTGTTTATATCCAGCATACTTGATAAACTGACCGTTCCACACACGGAAGTCCCTCCCTGGGCCTTGTCGCTGAGGAAATATCGTGATGGCTGATCTAAATTTATAATTATTTTATATTAGACAGATATTAGATAGCGAGGGTACTAATTCCGCTCGGCTATGTACATCTGGGGAAAGGAAATCATTAGCGAAGTCAAGTTCATCAATAATCCTCACTGATCTCAAGAATATGTCTGTTTGCTAGGAGTGGGATAAGCAACATTTCGATTTTCAAAAAAAAATTTGGAAAATTGTTTCATACAATGAGCTTTCAAACAATTTTGCTTTGAATAAATAAGAAGAATTGATTTACGGGAAATCGTAAAATATAGAGCAAGTTTGCTTTGGATGTTTAATGTTTATGTTTTTATTGCGTAAATTTGTTGCGTAAAACTTGCACTGCTTTCCTTTTCAATGTAGATGTAAGTTTCCTAAATTACCCTGTTTAAAGTTTGCATAAGAGTTTCTGCAACTTTCATTGCTTATTGAAATAAGAAGAAGATTTAACGACGGCTGATATTAACCATACAGGAAATCTTTCCTAATATTTACCTTAGGTTTCCTTTGTTGGTGCCATATTTGATGTGTTTGCATATCGCTTCAAACATTTGCTGGGCGTTGAAGACATCTCGGCAGTCAAACACCTATATTCAGATATATGATAATATAATAACGATCAGATTTAATATTCTATAGAGACGAATCAGTCCGTCAAGTCAAGTCGCGTCATCCGTCTGACAGATCTTCGGTCTTGGTGTAAACACAAAACAGGAGTCCGAGCACCCACCCGACAGAATCAAATGATAAAATATTTTTGTAGATAAAAATTTCTGGTGTAAACTTTATACATATTTAAACCTAACCAGGCGTGTTAGAGTGTCCTCCAAATGCTCCCTAACAATATCTATTCGGGTGCAACAACCACATACAGCGCAAAAATTAACCATTTTAATACAAAATTATTATAAAGTTTTAGAAAATTTGCTTTGTTTACATAAGTTATATTATGCATAGATTGCTAAGTTGTCCTCCAGATGCATCGTCACCGGCGCTGTGACGTCTTGCGCAATGGGTCTATAGAGCCCAGTTGTCGAGTAAGGTCTGAAATGTGTAAAATTTACACTTGCAATTACCATTTACAAAAACCCTTAAACACATGACGAGCTATTTTCGTCTGTTGTAGGTTACTGCAGTGGATCCTCCCCACACCTGGGGGCATTTACGTACACTAGTTTAGCACCAAACACAAGCACTCTAACCTAATCACCCACCTACCTACTGTAAACCAACTACTTACCCACTGTACCTGCTGTAGCAAAAACACAGACCCACCCGCCTACCTGTATTTTATTCCATTGGATCCTGCCCACACATCTGGGGGCATTTCTCCATGCCAGTTTTACACCAAACACAAGTTCTTTTGCATCCATTTCGTACGTTCCTCTGTCTTCGATCTCTTTTAAAACTTGCTGTACTCTTGTGCTATGTGCCGGAGTGTCCTCTCTGAAATCAAGTTGTATTTTGTTTGTGATGTTTCGCTAAATGAGTGTGCATCCACACTGGGCAAGCTGAAAAATTTGCCTGACCACGGTGGGAATCGAACCCGCGACCTTTGGGCGTGAAGAAGACTAACTGTCTTACTTACTTTTTCAAAGAAGCGTAATATTGTCTGAGAAAATCCACAGCGTCTTTTTTCGCCACTTCTTTCGGCATCAGCTCTCCATTTGAGATATTTTTTCTTGGAAACATAATGGAGCCCTTGCAGCGATGCTCATCACAATGTGATAGCTAAATAGAATTGTCACGTTTGTATCAGTTTGTATAAAATTTGGGGCCAGTCCAACGATTGGATAAAGTTCGGTCGAAGACTTGATCAAACTTCATCCAGTCCTGGGACTTGATCGAACTTCATCCAGTCCTAGGACTTAATCAAACTTCATCCAGTCCTAGGACTTGATCTAATTTCATCCAGACCTACGACTTGATCAAACATCGTCCAGTCCTAGGACTTGATCAAACTTTCATCCAGTCCTAGGACTTGATCAAAACTTTATCCAGTCCTAGGACTTGATCAAACTTCATCCAGTCCTAGGACTTGATCAAACTTCATCCAGTCCTAGGACTTGATCAAACTTCATCCAGTCCTAGGACTTGATCAAACTTCATCCAGTCTTAGGACTTTATCAAAACTTTATCCAGACCTAGGACTTGATCAAACATCACCCAGTCTTAGGACTTGATCAAACTTTCATCCAGTCCTAGGACTTTATCAAACTTTCATCCAGTCCTAGGACTTTATCAGAACTTTATCCAGCCTTGGTGGGATGACTATGTAAACATGACGTTGAAATATTTGTGTTGTAATTAACCAAAAATGCAGGGGCCGGTTGTATAAAAAAGTGATTAAAGTTAACTATAGTTAAGTGCAAACGTCATCCAATAAAAAACGCCTATTTAAGAGTTAATCACTATTTAACTACAAAATAGTGATTAAAAAAGTGATTAAGAGTTTTATACAACCGGCCCCAGGACTTTAATTAGTAGTGTCTGTTCAGATCTATTAATGTTAATTTTTTGTTTGTCTAACAGCCCCAAACCCTATTTCCCGTTTGTAATCTAAAATGACTGAAAATTGCAAACTGCGCAAGGCTATATTATCCGCATTTTACAACATTTCGCAACGAAACTTTGGAATATTACTAATTTTGTGATGCTCTTTCAACCTGTGATGAAATTTTTGTCTAGACTTGTTTAGATCAAAATGTAGTCTATTTCGCAAATGGTCAATTGTTGTAAAGATAAATAGTCTAAGCTAAGTAAGTAACATGAGCGTGTAATACTTGATGTAGTCGATCACTGAAAAGCCCCAATGGGGGGTGAGCTGAACAATAATGTAATATATGAACCCTTACGTCGGACTTCTGCTGGTGAAGTGTGTCTGTAATTTGCTTCCCAGTGATCCAGTTTCTAAGCCGAACAAATTTCTGTTTCTTTTCGCCGCCTTCTCCATTTTTCGTTGCCTTGTTCCCACCATGACCATTGGCTATTTTGTTGTTGTTGTCATCGCCATTCTCAATTTTCGGTGATTTTAATGCTTTCATAGACGAGCTTGTCTTGGCCGGAGTAAAGACAACTTGGCTGGGAGTCGTTTCGCTTGAATGTGTCCTGCTCAACAGCTTCTTCATTGTGTGTTCCTAGTGGGAAATTTGATTTCATATATGGTGAGTATTTAAAGTTATTCCTCTGCGCTCTATCGGTGGATCTCATTAAGTAGATGCTGGTTGGTTTCAGTTGACACTTAATAGAGACCTTACGATTTTAGGACGGCAACGGCTGCCAATACAATAGATCATTGAAAATAATTGAATAGTTACAATATATGAATAATTTAGACATTGTCCTCGCTCTGTTTACAACGCCAAATCACAGATTTTCACGTCTTGACACCTGAACGGCTGCATTTCAAGCCGCAACAAGTGCAACTTCAAACTGGGTTCAGGAGAACTCTTCCCAACCATAAAACCCATGTCTTCAACTTCTAAGACTGTATTAAATTCGTACGATTGATAATATACGACGAATTGTCTTTACTACCATTTATTTGAAGGAGTTTGTTTTGGCCGTCGTCGTCGTGTTGCCGTCCTAAAATCGTAAGGTCTCTAATAGGACTTAATCAAACTTTATCCAAGAGACAAATTTGGCTAATGTTTGTTTATACCCAATGGACCTATTCCCTAATGAACAAAATTTTGATCTAGACAACTCTAGACGAAAATTTCATCACGGCTTGAAAGAGCATCACAAAATTAGTAATATTCCAAAGTTTCGTTGCGAAATGTTGTAAAATGCGGATAATATAGCCCTGCGAAGTTTGCCGTTTTTCAGTCATTTTGTATTACGCACGGGAAATTGATAGGCCTACCGCTTTCTGAAAAAAGATATCAATTTCCCGCGCGTAATACAAAATGACTGAAAAACGGCAAACTTCGCAGGGCTATATTATCCCCATTTTACAACATTTCACAACGAAACGTCGGAATATTACTAATGTTGTGATGCTCTTTCAAGCTGTGATAAAATGTTCGTCTAGACTTGTCTAGATCAAAATTTTGTTCATTAGAGAATAGGTCCATTCAAAACTTTAGATAACTCATAACGCCTACTTATCATTGCTCTAGTACAAAAGCATAAAATAGAACAAAGGTAACTAAGCTTGATGTTAAAACTGACTCAGTCAGTTCGCTCAAACGTTTCTTACAATTTACTGATGCAAAATTTCTACTCGGATTACAGAATCTTTGATAGTAAAATGTAACGTGGTTATGTTGTTATAGGTAGGCTATAGTCTCGTATTAAAATATTTCGCTAACAATTTATTAACTAAGAACACTAAAATGGTAACACAAGCTTTCAGACGAACGCGACCATCGTCAGGGATAAATGCTATAAACTTCGTTCAACCTTATATTATGCATATAATTTACATTTCAATATACTTATAAACCTAATTAGCACGTGATTAAAACCCCGTACAATTTTAAAACCTGTATAGTACAAAAGATTAAAAACTGATAGTATGCATTGACAACAATCGAAAAATAAATTCTGCCATTGTCTCTGTTCGAAATGCCGTTAAACGTGAAATTTTGTAAAATGTGGCTGGCTGACACAAATTTTCCGCTGGAAAAAATTTGCAACTTTTAACAATGATATTTTGGGGAAAATTTTCTTGAGTGGAAATCTTTTTTGAGTGGAATATTCAATAGTAAAAAGTTAGTTCTAAAATATTATGTAAAATTTAGAAGTTAAAAGATAAATTGTCACTATAAAAAGGTATTCTTGTTCCACGTATAGGCATAACAGGGCTGACCTAATTAAACTAAAAGAAAGTTCTGTTCTCAAATAAGCCATTGTCGTTGAATAAGGCCTATTATATTTTTTTCGCGAGCTTCGATGCCAACATTTTGTGAATTTGGTCCTTTAGTCTGTTCGGAATCATAAGCCTTGATATATATAATATATATATATATATATATATATATATATATATATATATATATATATATATATATATATATATATATATATATATATATATATATATATATATATATATATTTTATATATATATTTTATATATATAT